TTATATATATATATATATATATATATATATATATATATATATATATATATATATATATATATATATATATATATATATATATATATATATATATATATATATATATATATATAACTCCTTCCGTCTCTAAAAACACTTCTTATTTCTATTAAAAATTCACTTTTTCCCCTTACTTTTTCATACCCTACCTATCACATCATACCTTTTTACTAATAATCTACCCACCAAATACTACTTTATCCATCACATCAAAAGACTTTTTTTGGAAATTCAATATCAAAATACACTCCCCTTAAATCTTTTAAAAATTATAACATCTCATGTTTTGGAAATTTAATAATGACTAATAGATAATGACCAAAGATCCTACATTGGGAAATAAAAACATATGGTCATATATTGAGAAAGTCATTATGTTTTAGTCATATTTAGGTAAATTACTCTTTAAAATAATTCATTGAATTTACAGAATACATGAATTCTATACATTTTATCAGAATCTTTTAAAATCTAAATTGAATACACTCCCCTTAGTTTCTCGTGATCATCCTTATTCAGTTGGTCCAAAATCTACTTTCATTTTTTATCATGTAATTTTTACATACCTCGTCCCTAAAATTTTTTCCCAATTTGACTTTTAGAAAAATTAAGGGGAAGAATTTTTGTATTGACTTTTCAAAAATACCCTTGATGTGATGACTAAAAGTAAGATGTGATTGGTAGATTATCCATATCCATACTTTATTTAAAAAGACATGGAATCAACATATGATTTTCCCACCCAAAGAGTATGACAATTATAAATGACAATTGTGAAGTAAAAATGGTAAGTGGTCGCAATTATAGTAATAATTAATATAATTATTATATTTATAATAATAAAAGAAATGTAAGTTTAAATGTCTGAAAGGTAAGTTAACAATTGTGAATTTATAATGGTAAGTGGCCGAAATTCTAAAGTTATAATTATTATATTTATAATAATTAACGTATTAAAAATTGGAAATAATTAAAAAAGGTAATTTATAAAATTGCAAAGCGTAAGTTTTTAATAAAAATGGAATCCACCTATTATATGCTAAGAATAAGTAATTGTCATTTTTAACTTTTTTTTGTGTTAGTGTGAAGTTAATATTGTTATTATAATTATTTTTATAACAATTAACGTGGGTAATATAATTACAAATGACAATTGTGAAATTAAAATGGTAAGTGGCTAAAATTATAGTAATAACTATTATAATTATTATATTTATAATAATTAAAGAAAGGTAAGTTAAAATGGACGAAAGGTAAGTTAATAATTGTGAACTTATGATGGTAAGTGGCTGAAATTGTAAAGTTATAATTATTATATTTATAACAATTAACGTATTGAAAATTGGAAATAATTAAAAAAGGTAAGTCATAAGATTGTAAGTTATATAATTATACACCCATTTTTGCAAAAAAAATTGGAAATAAATAAAAAAGGTAAGTTATACAATTATACACCCAATTTCACAAAAACATAATTGGAAATAATTAAAAAAAGATAAGTTATTATTATTAACGTGAGTAATATTAATTGGAAATAATTAAAAAGGTAAGTTAAACAATTATACGCCCAATTTCGAAAAAAAGTAATTATGATAAGAATAATTATACACCATTTTCGTAAAAATTTAAATTTACCACGGCACCAGTGCTACGCCTCCCGGATTTCTCACAAGTGTTTTATTTGGAAACCGATGCTTCAGATTTTGGGGTGGGCGCCGTATTACTCCAGCACGGACACCTGTTGGCCTTCTTTAGTCAGAAATTGGGACCCAGGCGACGTATGGCATCCACGTACCACAAAGAATTATATGCGATTGTTGAAGCGGTTCAAAAGTGGAGCCAATACTTGCTCGTCCGGGAATTTGTGATTCGAAGCGACCAGCGCAGTCTCAAGGAACTCCTTCTCCAGGTCGTACAGATCCCGCACTAGGAATTTTACATTCGGAAATTAATGGGGTATAAGTTCCGTATTGAATACAAGACGGGGGCCTCTAACCGTGCCGCCGATGCCCTGTCCTGACGTGAAGATGATACCGAGGTAGCCACTCTGCTCTTGACCTATGCACGGCCCCAGCCAAAGTGATTGGATGATGTCACTGCGGAAAACACAACGTCCCCGGAACTCCGCCAACTTCATAAAGCCGTGGCAACGGGGACAGCAAAACCGGGTTTCACTGTACACTCCGGCATCATCTAATATAATCACCGTTTGGTCCTGGCATCATCCTCTCCTCTACGCCATCATCTACTGGTCGAGTACCACAGCTTCCTGATGGTCGTACATCAAGGCGTGGAGCGCACCTTCCGCCGCCTCGTCACCACTTTTTATTGGCCCGGCATGCGCACAGATGTCTGGCGTTTTGTGGCAGCGTGTTTGGCCTGTCAAGCAACCAAATACTCCACCCGTAAGCCCGTGGGTCTCCTCCAGCCACTTCTAGTTCCAGACCGTGTATGAGAGTCCGCGTCTATGGACTTTATCACCGGCCTTCCCCCTTCGCGCGGGCTCTCGGCCATTCTCGTTGTTGTCGACAGTCTCACAAAGTACTCCCATTTTGGTTCCATGCCCAGTGACTTTGATGCACCTCGTGTGGCTCAGCTCTTTATTGACATTGTCGTTAAACAACATGGGTACCCCACCGACATCGTCTCCGACTGCGACTCAATCTTCATGAGCCTCTTTTAGAAAGAATTGATGCGTCTCAACGGCATAACGTTGAAGTTTAGTACTGCTTATCATTCACAAACAGACGGCCAGACGGAGGTCACCAATCGGATTTGGAATCGTATTTGCGGGCGTTTGTCCACGAACGGCCGATAAAGTGGTGCACTTTTTTACCTTGGGCTGAACTGGCCTTGATTTGCAGCACGAATGAGAGTATTGGCATGTCTCCATATCAGGCCTTGTATGGCCGGATGCCTCCCCTTTTCCCGACCATGTCCACTCGTTCGCAGGTTGCTTCGGTGGAGGAACTGTTGCGTGAGCGTGCCGCATTACTCGCAGATTTGAAGACTCATTTGGCTGCCATGCGGAAACGAATGGTTACCCAGGCAAATGCTCATCGCCGGGAGGTCTCTAATGCCATCGGCGATTTGGTCCTTTTGAAGCTCCGCCTGTATCATCATCACTCCGTCGCACGCCCACTCTCCACGAAGCTCTCTCGACGGTTTTATGGACCTTTTCCCATTTTGAAACGAGTCAGACCGGTCACTTACAGGTTACACCTTCCGCCAGATTGCCATATTCACAATGTGTTCCATGTTTCTCTCCTGTGGCCCTTTGTTCAAACCGGTGATAATCTTCCGCCAGTCACACTTCCTGCTGATTTTTATAAAGGCCGTCGTATTTTGATCCCGGTGAAGGCGCTGGCTGCACGGACAGCTTTGGTGGAGGTCTCCCGCAAGACCAACAACTGATTCGTTGGTCCGATGGTGGGCTGGAAGACAGTACGTGGGAACCCGTTGCCGACATCCAGCGACATTTCCCCACTCTTGGCCTTGAGGACAAGGCCGTTTTCGACTAGGGGGAGTTGATACGGGGGTTATTCTCGATCATGACGACCCAGCACATCTTTTGGCTCTACAACGCGTTCGTCCAAAGCGGTCCATTCGGGCCCCTAAACGTTATTCGGATTATATTTAATTCTTTCCCATTTTTTATTTATTGTAATTTAGATTTTCTTAGGTGAGCAAAATATAAGCTCCGTCGAGGGTTTCTTTTCGGTTATTTACCTTGTCGCTTTTCTTGATCCAACAGGATAGGTAACCTAGTTTAAGTAAGATTGGGAGAAACCAATTGTTATTTAAAAAGGTGTTGAACTCTTTCAACAATTCAAGTAATAAGAAAACTCTCCTCTCTCCCATATTTTTCTCTCTCTCACGTCTCTCTCCCCAAAACCCTAAGCCGCGCACAACCTCTGTGCCACGGCTGGTTCTCCTTTTCCCCCTTGCAGGTATCACATTTGCATCAGTACAAAACCGATGCAAATGGTGCAAAATAACCGATGTTAATGCCCCGATATGTAGTAGTGGGATGAACTAATAGCTATAGCCTTTAAAAAAATAAAAAATAAAACTGGTAGGAGGGCAATGTCAATTCAAATTCTTAATATTGTCAAAATATTGTTAGAAGAGTAATGTTGTCCGCTTTTTTTATAAATGGAATATGTGGTGTGCCAAAATCAACTGTCATATAGTAATTGAGCTCAATAATGCACACCATGATGTTCATCTTATTAAAAGAATTCCATATTTGGTATGGCCATTATCGTCATTATCGTAAGGGTAATGGTTAGCAAACCCGTAAAAATTTAAAAGAGTCGTACACCTTTCACGCGAGGGAGTATTTGTAATAAAATTGTTACTTTGACATCAGAGATTAAGATAAACAGAGTGCAGCAGAAATAATCAATTAAAAGTATCTATACAAACAGGTTAGATGAATCAAACAAACAGTTGAGAGGATTTTATAACACTTTTCACACAAACAATTGGCTGACATAGTACTATATCATCTTCTCCGTCACATGCGCACATACAATAAATAGTGTAAAGAAATGAAACAGACATAAAGGTTTGTTTACGTAATTAAGAGCAAATCTTACTACTCTACAGGGTCCACATTCGTGTAATAGCCTTCTAATAAATCTTAATTGCATGTTACACCGATCAATACTAATAATGTGCTAAGTCGCACTACTCCCAATTGTAATGACAAAATCTCAAAATTAAGACTTCTAACTCGAACTCTCTTCGAGCTTGCTTCACGGCTAACTCATCTTCACCAGGTATATTCAAGGATGTGTTGGATGCCCTAGTTTTTGAATCAGATTCTCAACATCTAGGCCTTGTAAAACTAGAAACAACAAGCAGGTGTGTCTCTCTCTTCTATGCACACAATCGTTCCAATATAGAATGATATGCAAATTTTCTTCCCACATTGTGAATGTATATGATCCGCGTCTTTGTTCTAAAAAATCACACAGGGAATGGAAATCATACTCTAGTAGGGTTAGGATTTCTAGCCCAACTATAGATTACTAGGATTCCAACTAAACTCTTCCGTATCCTTCTTTAATTCACGCTAGGACGTTCTGTAATAGATAAATAACTCTTCATAAATCAGATGCTTCCAACACACTAATTCTACGACTTATAGTCGGATCAAGTTTCCTACCATCTTAAAATTGGGCTGTTGAAGGCTACACACTGATATTTTTGTAGAATATCATCCATATTTTTTAATATTTGGTTATTTTAATACCTAAAAAATACATTTTCTTCACTATATACATAAAAATGGATTATTCGGTTTTTACAGAGATAAAAAGGTAGTGATATTGAAAAAATGTTAAAAATTTCAAATAAAATGTTTAAATATATCAATGGTTAGCTATTGTCAATGATTTTCTTATTTTATGTTTAATTTAAATCAAATTTAAATTTATTTACACCAAATCAAATCAGATCCAATCAGATCATATTCAACCATATCAGATCAGATTAGATCTTGTTGGAAAAAATATTATAGATTTTGATAATGATGTATTTAGAATGTAATAGGGACTTTAGGTCTCCCCAAATATTCAATGTAATTTTTCTTTTTAGAAATATTGTTAAAACTGAGTTCTTGAGATTTCCAATAAAGTTGTGATATTTCTTTAAGCGGTTTGATGCCTGAAGACTTAATCAAATTCAGTAATTTGGAAATTGGATATCTTGATCGGAAATGTCATAGACAAGTAAGGATTTCTCAAAGGAGACGAAAATCCTCCAATCCGGAAGACTACATAAGAACCGGATGTCTCGCTACAACCCGCTGAAGGCTAAGTCGGAAGACTAGCGCGAATTTCTTTCTCACCCGGAACACTGAGTATGACTCTTCCGGATTTGTCAGCTAAGAACCGGATGCCTCAAGAAAGACCGGAATTCTCAAAAAGCGGACAAGTGAGAAAAGACTTAGAAAATTATCTAAGTCTTGAATGAAGAAATTCTACCCGTTGGTAAAGAAAAATCAATTTCTTGATTTTCAACGGCTAGATTGAAGATAATTATGCTGATTCAAGAACAATGACTCGAAGACAAAGTCTGGACCTCTAAAAATTGAAGAGCCTGTCCAAAATTCCTAAACAAGCACTAGAAGACAAACAGAGTAAAGTGCTACAGTCCAGAATTCTTGAACAACAGCTAGAAGACGGATTCTGTGGAAAAAGGAATCCCTCCTTAAACAATTGGGTATGTCCAAACACCCATTCCAATAAGGAATCTTCAAATCACAATCTTCATTCAAAATTGAAGCCAACAAATGGAACGGATAGTCTATTTTGATTCAACGGATAGATTATCCAATCCAGCTATAAATAGCATCCTTGGAAGACTGGAGAAAGAACAACGACAACGATAAGATAAACAACCACAACAAAGCTACCTCATTCACAGTTAGCCCAAAAAGCTTGATAAAGAGAGATTTCTAAACTCCTTATCCAGAAGCAAACTTCTCCTCCTTCCAAAGAGCTATAGTGTAAATACTTGAAGGTTTCCTTGCCTCAAGTACTACACCACGTTGAAGGATACAACTTTTGATCAAACTTATTGATTGAAAGGGGGTAGGTCAACTTTCTTACAAGTTGGTCTTGCAAGTCCTATTGTTCGGACCTTGCAGTTGTTGAAGATGCGTGACCTTCGAAGGAACAACAAAGCCAGTACGAGTGCAGTAGCAACATTGGCCTTGCGAAGATATATCGTGCAGAAATTCACACAAGTGTAATTGTTGGTTCATTTTTCAACAACCAACTACATAGTGGATTTTGAGGACGTAGAAGGATTACCCCACCTTCGAACCTCGTTAAAGTTTGCGTGTCTCTCTCTTTTATCTTTATTCTTACTTGCAATTATATTAACTGTGAAAACTAACCCATCCATATTGATTATTGTTCACTCTACCCACCAAATTCTGCACACAATCTAAAGTTCACAAGAACTCTAGATTAACACTCATTTTCACGTTTTCAAAAGAAACGAAAAAGTTTTAAATTTGTTACAAAGTCTATTCACCCCCCCCCTCTAGACTTTGTATCTCACCACTTTGGGACCACCAGATCTAATCAGATCAGATCAGAATTTCAAAAATTCAGATTAGGTTCAATCAGATTAGGCGTACGGAATATAGCCTTAGGGGCGGAGGGTGTATTATTTAGGACCGAATTATGCATTATTTGTCAAATATGAAAGTGAAATTTGCAATGAATAGGACTAAAACCTAAATCATTTTCTAATGTAGGACTTAAATTTTTTTATTCTCTAAATAGGACTTAATAATGACTAGTGAGAAGAATAATATCAAAGTGATGCAGGACAGTTAGTTGAATAATGACTAATAGATAACGACTAATAGTTCTACATTGAGAAATAAAAACATATGATCCTATATTTAGAAAGTCATTATGTTTTCCTACTTAAGTAAATTACTCAATATGAAAGTATAGACTTGTTTGGGATGATGGACTGATTTTAGGGTTCAACAACAAGCGAAAGGATTAATGCGATATAAAGCTTTGATATGATGCTCTAGGGTCAATCTTTAATTTTCATAAGATTATTCTAATTTGAAGCTCATTCAAAACTTTCAAACGCATTGTTTTTTCTTCCACGCGACCCAACCTGGGCTTTTTTATATGCGGTCCAACCCAACTACGGCACTAACTGTATAAATATTATTATAACTAAATTGAATGATTTCATTAAAATAAACTCGCTATTTATAATAGTTACAGGACCATGACCTATTTAGAGACAATTATAATAACCATTAAAGAAGTTTATAAAAAGTGCAAGCTTCGTTGAGTTTGTCATGATAAAAGTCTTTGCGGGGGTTCAAGGGCCATGCCGTTGAGTGTGTAGTTTAATGAGCCCCTGCGGTATCCAAGGGGCAGAGCCCCTAGCCGAGTCAAGATTACGATTTATTTTGGAAAAAGTGTTGCGTTGAAAATTCATTTGAATTTATATTTTCGAATTTGGGTACAAAAAGAAATCCGAAATGACCTCTTTATAAATTTTCGCCAATTAGACGCACACATAAGAGAAATATGTCAAACATGTTGGGATTCCTCCAAGTCCCACACCGGAACTATATGAGTAAATGAACCAAAATATATAGGTTCACCCAACCCCATTAGTATGAGGCCTTTTGGGAGGTGCCCAAAAATAAATCCGTGTGGGCTTGGCCCAGAGCGAACAATATCATACTAATGCGGGGTTGGGGTGAAGGCACGTGCAGTCCCAACATGTGGTATCAGAGCCTAGGTTCTTGCGGGCGTGAGCAGCAGACTGTGCAGTCTGGAAAAATCTTGGTGTGACGGTGTAACAATAGGACCAAGACCAAGAAAGAGGATCCGCAGGAGGTGCCTTGTGTCGAAAGTCTTCCCGACGAGAGAAGGTCGGGCGGCGTGTACCAAAAAGTTATAGCTACGGCGGTACAAGATAATTTGGCGGATCAAATGGTGTAGCCCTTCGAAGGA